CTCCATGATTGATCTGAGGACTACCAGCAGGAGCCTCTGCAGGAGCCCAGGGTCCTGAGCTTCCCCGGCCCCGGCCGGCCGAGCGGTCAGCACCCAGGTGTGCAGCACCGCTCCACTGACTGCACGGACATTGATGAGCTCTGTAGCATGTGAACGTGAGACGGTTTGCAAAGGCTTTCAAGGGAAGTGTGTCTGCAAATGCAGAGTGTGATAAGAAAAATAGATGCTCTTAACTAGATCCCTGGCCTTGATGTTACATATCAAAGGTCACTAACTGGGCTCCGCGGAAACAGCGGGCAGGGTGAGGGAAGAAAGGGGAGAAGACGCCCCTTCTCAGTCGCTGTCCTTGAAAGGTTAACTTGCCCAGAACAGTAAAAAGAAAAAGCTTTTGCGTGTGTGTGAACTTGACTGTGAACTTCTGAGCCTCTCCTTACACGCTGGACGTAAAGTTCTGAAACTGCCTGAACTTGGAGTTCAGGGGGATTAATTGATTACAGCAAAAGCTGTACCCTCTGAACCTGGCCGCAGCCAAATAAAACTGGTTCCTGCTACTTTCTGTGTCTTGCCTTGTCTCCTGAAACACTACCACTGAGCTACATCCCCAGCTCTTTGGGGGACATATTTCTTGGTTGGCCTCCAATTTGTGATACTCCTGCCTCAGCCTCCTAAGTCACTAGGATCACAGGCAACTTTTAAAATATTACACTTGTTTTTCGTTAGTTTAGTTTTCTCCATCGTCATATAGCTAAGGGTCTGTTAAGGTCAGCCTCCTCTGTCTGATCTCGGGATAGCTGCCCTAGTGTCTCCCACTCCCCCAGGGACACTAGGGGCAGGTGGAGGGGTAGTGGGTATTCAGGGAGTGGGTCAGGGCTTGGGCCTAAAAATGGAAACATTTTTTAAATGAAAGAAGTAGAAGTGAAACTCTAGTGTTCACCTGAATGGGAACCCCAGCCTGGCACAGTGGCCAGGTCTCTGATCACAGCCAGGCTTTTATAGGGATTTGGGGAAGTATGTATATTTGGAAGCTGTGGCAGGGCCATCACAAATTCCAGGCCAGCAGGGTAACTTAGTGAGACCCTGTATCAAAATAAAAAATAAAAGGATTGGGAGTGTAGCTTAGTGGTAAAGTACTCTCGTTCAATCCTGAGTAACTACAAAACATAAAATGAAATAAGAAATAAGCCCGCACAGTGGTGCACACCTGTAATCCCAGAGGCTCGGGAGGCTGAGACAGGAGGATTGCGAGTTCAAAGCCCGGCCTCCTCTAACCATCTCAGTGAAACCCTCTCTCTAAGTAAAATACAAAATAGTTTACTGGGATGTGAGTCTGTGGTTGAGTGCCCTTGAGTTCAATCCCCGATACGAAAAAAAAAAAAACAAAAAACCAGAACCACAGAAGGAACAAGATATCAGTCTTCTCTTGCCTAACTTTGGCATCCAGAGGACTGCACAGGTCTTGGAATTGGCTAAGCCCTGGTCACATCTGAACAGAAATGCCTCCAAGAAGCCTCCAGATCTTTCACTATTGACTCTTAGGATATGGAACCGGCTTTTCAAGATTGGGCATGAGCAGGTGCCAGGGATGTCTGAGGAACCGATACCCCAGAATCAATGCTTGGCACCCACCGGCTGTGGCCAGGAGAGCGTCCCCCAATCCCTATCCAGGGTTACTGCCTCAGCCCCTGCGAGGTGGCACATAGGTGAGAGCCCCCACTTCCGCCCGTTGCCGGTCACTCTCAGCCCTCTCCAACACTCTGCCAGTCACTAGCCTCAGGGATAGCCCAGAGCAGGACCTT